AAAGAAAAGTTGAAACAGTAATTCTGCTTAATGAAGGATAATAACACTGTTATAAGAATATTAAGTCAATTTAAACACTCTAGTCTTGGGTTATGAGTTAGGCAAGAGGTGTTGCCCAGATTTTGCCGCCAGCTTCAATCAACTAGAGAAACACTGTTTAGCTTGTATGCATAAATACTGAACTTTTTAAACTTGAGGAACGAGATGTCAAGTCAGTCAGCTCTTCTATATAGCTTAGAGATTCAGTATGACAACATAGGCACTTAGAAGAAGCTTCAGACTTTGTATCTACAGCTGCCTTCTCTCCATAATAAAGATTAGGGGATGGTCTAGAAAATAGTCAGTTGAAGCCTGCAATCCAAAGCTTTCAAATGTATAAAAGGTATGTAGATGACAACTTTATTATTTGTAATAGTGATTGTAACTTGAATAATACATTAAATGTATCTAATGGTTGCCGTCCAGCGATAAAATTCACACTTCAAATGGAGAATGAGCTGAGCATTCATTTCATCAATGTGAACTTATCAAGGAGGACCGATGGTACGCTGAAGAGATCGATTTATCGAAAGCTGTCATGGAATGGTCAACTGACAAATTTCTACAACTGGGTACCCAGTGGTCGAAAACGAAACCTGTTCCGGTCGCTTGCCACTCCCATTCGGCGCATATGTAGCCCTGATACTGTAGAAGATGAGTTATACCTTTTGCGGAAAATCCTAAGATAAGAATATATATTCAAATTCTATAAAATGTGACTGATCAACCGTACCCGAGAAAATACTTTACATGAGCTTGGAATTCAAAGGGGACAAAGCTTGCGATATCATGAAACGAAGGATATCACAATCCCTGTAAAGAACATTCCGTGCTGCATATCTGAGAATAGCCTTTACTAGTCGACCATTACCGGTGGGTGCATACTGATGAAGAGTCCCAAACTAGGACGAAACAGTTTTCCAGTGGTTCTCTGACCAATGTCAGCTCATGATGAAATCCTGTAACCATTATTGTTCAACAACCTGAAGGGCAAGATCCCGCTGTTGACCTGATCGTCTGCAGCTAGGTATATCGGTAGTTCGACTCGAGTTTTGTCCGAGAGGGTGCAAGAATACTATCCTGCATGGTTATAAAATGGTTAGAGTGGAGCAATAAGAAGCGCGATCATTGAACATCTTGTTGATAACGATCACCCCAATGTCTATAGTCTCCACCTTTAAAGTCATCTACAAGGCAAGAAGCAATTTACTGAAATCACTACGTACCCGACTCATGCTGAAGCTTTCGCTATCGAAACAGAAAAGCCAGATCTCTGTGTGCAAAATAGTTCGTTCAATCCCTCCAAATTTTATGGTTTTAGTCCCTCTAGGCTAAAGTATGGTAGTCCCCAATCATATTTTGGTTCTACCAATTTTTTCATTTTATCTATTCAGTTTGTATACTCTTCTTATATTACGTCAATTGTTACTATTACTATTCTCACTCTGAACTATTCCCGGTATTATTTCACTTGTTCCACTTATCATTCTAAATCAATTCTTTTTTAGAACGTTGAATTCTAGGAAACCAGGTTTCAAACAATATTACGTAACGTTTTTATTTTATTCCATTTGTCGACTAATCCTATAATTGCACACCCTTTTTCCGGTTCTTTCCATCCTATGAATTATTCTATATATGACATTAATTTGCTTCGCCACTTGACATTTAACTATGATTATAATCACAAACATTTTAGATTTTAATTGCATTTCATATTATTATTATTATTTCATGCATTCACACCTAAGATTCAATTCCCCCACCAGATATAACTTAAAAACCATATACATACAATTGTACAGCTTGATGATAAATTCGTTGAAAAGAGTCTCTTCGCTGAATAACTTGTTATGATTTTCTATATGTTACAATGGAAATTTTCCATGAGAAACGGTGAACTCATTCATGAATAAACTGTTTCGACCTTTAAATAACTTTTATGCATCCCAGTGTTTAGAGTTCTTCAATAACACAATAGGACATTAGTTCACCGGAAGAGGTATTTATCAACACACTGGTTTTAAATAATGAACTCTAAAAATAAAACTGTCTCAATTTTGACAGTTTTGTGATAATAATACCTACAAAACCAAAACTTGAGAATTGATCTGGACCTTATTAGCGACTGGTGCTATTTAGGCAGTCACCCGGGGTTCTAGTGGGATGCCATGACCAGTAAGGTGCAGCAAGTTGCGGGTGAGGCAGTAACTCATCGAAAACGATAGTGCTAAGTGGTCCCGCTATGTCATGAATTGGCAGAATTCAGAGTTCAAGGGCTGGTCATTGGACCGAGTCCCAGTGGCTTAATGGTCTACGAGCTCGCTAGTTTTGCAATCAGAAGTTCTGTGGTAGATGCGTACTAATGAACAGCGGCAAACTAGGACGAAACAGATGTCTGGTGCTCCCAGTTGGTTTTCCAATGGTTGTCTAACTCACTTTAGTTCATGTTAAAATACTCGTAGCAATCAATCAAAATCCCTACAAAACCAATAGTGGAAAAAAATTCACAACTATAATTTTCTTCTAAAAATTTCTGAATATAGGCATTATCTGCTTAAAATTTACATACGAACTGTGATTTTATTTAATTTCACATAGGCCTACCTTGAGCATAGTCACACTCCATATGTTACATTTATACTTATGACAGTATCTGTGTTCAAGACGGTTAGTGACATTATCCTAATAATAGCTTTATTTTGGTTGGCGTTCATATGATGTACAGCATGTCAACTGGAATTTATTGCATAATTAATGCTCATCATCCCGAATCCTCACGCGAAATAGTAACTGACAGGACTATACATGAATTAAAACGTTGTGTGACTTGATATTATTATGAGCAATAGTTTGTGCTTGAAACGTCATCAGTTCATATTACTGCATAACATTGTATGATTTATCAAAATAAAATATTATCCATAATTGACTTATACTTCACCACAATGCTCAAGTTTTATACTTACATCAAAAGCAAAATGAAAAATAATGGTGAAACTAATAATGGTAACATAAATGAGGGGAAATATAAGGCATCTACAGTCTTTACATACAAGGAAGGTACATCTGAAACGCTCCCTGAGTGAGATTCTTAATAAAACAGGAATTCGAGTGGCATGCAAACCTGAAAACTCACTCAGAGACAAGCTCCATGGGTTCAAAGACTCGATCGACTCAATTAAAGAAAATATTATAATTTACAAAATACCTTATAATGACTATGATAAGATAAGTAATTTAGAAAACAGCTCAGCAATCGCACTACATGCATTAACACACAACAACACAGTCGGGGGAATGGGATAGAGTCAAAATTCTAAAAAGTAATAAAGGTAGGTGAAGCGGGAGAGAGATTGATTACTGAATCCTGATTCATCGAGTCTACACTCAACACATGCGCAAAGAAGTGACTAAACGCGAATACCAGAGATATGGAAGATATTATTACCAGTCAAATCAGAAGATAATAAATAGTGTTAAAATGTATTCATTTTAGTTTGTCAACTCATGTATTTTACCTATTCTGCTTTACTGTTCACCCTTATTCTTTCCTGGATTGCTTAAAAAAGACTATGTCATACTTCGTAGAACTCTGAAGACTGTCAGTAGGAAGAGTGGTATCGTTGGCACTGTCGCTGATAGGCACTTGATGTCATGGAACAAATTTGCTAAAGGAGTTTTGTCAGACTCTGAGCACCCAGTATACCCGCAGCTTCAACCTTGTGTCTCTTCAGGGAAAACAACAAGTCTTTTCAGAAGAATTTACGCACGTACGTCGAAGTATAAAAATTCCACTATACTATATTTAGCACGTACTTTATGTGATGAAAATGGTGTCAGGCAGAACTAACTAACCTTCTTTGCACTACTAAATAAACCATTTCTTCCACCCTTACAGTAACAAACTTTATTGTTATTGTATTGCTTATATTTATAATCCTCTCAATTTTTGTTTTTATTTATTTTTCATAAGCGTGAACATATACTATATACTGTATCACACTATACTATATCAACAGAACATTAGATCCAATAATCTATAACATGCTAAAGTTTCCAAACTGAATCGACAATACTGTTTGAAACAAACTCACTGTTATTGTTATTATTATTATATCTAATAATCTCAATTCGTGCTTCGAATATTTTTGACTTTATACCGTAAACATGGATGAATCATTCTGGTTACTTTTGTTTTAATTTTTAATGTTATTTATATTTTGCGTAAATCAGATGCAATATTGTGACAAATGCTGAGAATTCCATTCTGTATTATAAGTACTGTTTTCGGAATAAGGTAGATTATTATTATTACTAATAGTAATTTATTTTACTAAAGCAAGCGATCTTATTTCCCATCTTATTGTATTGTATTATTTCCGAATGTACTTTATATTATATTTGATTTTATTCAAATATCTAATCATCAATTTTTACTGATGTATTTAAATGAAGCAAGAAAGTTGTGTGAGTGAGTGCTTTGTTATGATTGTGAGCAGTTTTAAATGGTGCTCAAAACGTCGTCACCAGTAAATATTACTGTGAAACAACGCCGTAGGATTTTATCAGAATGAAAATTTTTATCCACAATGGAGTTATACTCTACCGCAACAGTGCCCAAGTTCTATGCATATATCACGTGACACAATGTTATCTCACCTGAATGGAAAACCAATCTGAGACCTCTAGAATATTAATAATACCTGGTTGGGCTTAAAATAAACATTATGAGCAAATAAACTTTTTTTTTAAATCTAAACAGATTTAAATTTGTTTAATTCATTCCTCGAGCGGTATAATTTAACTTAATTCTGTGTTAACCAATCAAGTTGCAAGTAATCAAGGTCATTAGTATGCTAGTTGATGGTCAACTAGAATTAACCAATCAGAAATCAACAGAATACATTACATTGTAAACACACATGGAATATAAAAAGGATAACACGTGACAGTAAGAAGGTGTAATCAATAGCCAGATAAAATTGATAAAATGTATATTAACTCACTTTATCTATAATAATTTAGATTTAAAATGAGATAAATATTTTCAAGAAGAACTCATGTATATATAAATGCTTTGGATTATAATAAGTTTTCCCTTCTCTGATCAAGAAAATCTACAGGATTGAAGTGATAACAGTAAATTTGTGTAATGAATGAGAAATTAGTTGTGTATGACAGTGAATCAGCGCCAGGTGGGCCGTCTGGAAGACAACAGCAACAGCAACCTCAACAGTCAAAACCAACTGGTCAAGTGTTTGACATGGATTATTCACAGAAATCAATAGTTACACAAGAAAAACAACATTATCCTCCTCATGTTCATCAGCAACAACAGTCTGGATTATCAGGAAGACCGAATCGCCTACTACAACAGTACTCGTACAATCAACCCCGTAACTATGACAACAGTCACAATCATAATAAATATTTTCAATTTTTCACAAGACAATCTGATCTGAAGTATAATTATTCTGATTCAGATGAACCGTCTAGTTTTTATCAACCGACGCCTTTAAATACTTACTCCACTCACAGGCATACGAATCATCGAATACGGACATCTGAACGCTTACCAAAACATAAATACTTTGAGCATATGTTACATCAGAAGATATCCAATTCTAATCTCTCCATGTTATCTTATCCTTATAATCAATCAAGTACACCGACAGTAGCCTTATTCGGTAGTAGTAATAGTCGAGGTGAAGGAGGAGATACTGTTGGTGTTGGAGATGATGGCGATGAACTCTCGTTATCCCTACATGCACCTCCACCTCCAGTTGTACCACGCCATCATGTTGCAATTCTTCCTTCACCAGAAACAGCATTTAAACCAATAAATCATCAGTCGATAGAAAGAATTACGTCATCATCACAATCTATTCATGAGTTGACTGGTTTCAGTGGAGGAGGGATGGGTGATAGTGGTGTGACGGTGATTAGTGGAAGTAGTCGGAATAAAATGAACTCTACACCAAATTTATTAGATTTTAGTAGTATTAGTAATAATACTATCAATACTACTGCCAATACTGCTCACTTTAATAATAATAATAATAATAATAGTAATAATAATAATGTATTATTTCATAAACACCAACAATTACAAATGCAACTGCAACAACTTAAACAGTTACAACGACAAGACAATCAGCAGGCAGCCAGAATGACAACATTCAAGACGAGTTGTACAACGAAAAGTATGGAAGAACTACTAAGGAGACAAAAGAAAGTAAGCGTAAAGTTTCTTTGGATCATCTTTTATCTTTCCTATTTGATTGATTTGGTCGCAATGTTTAGCCCAAGTGGTCTAGTGGGTATCGCTTCGGCTTTTGGAGTGTAGATATTTGGTTCGAATTTTAGTGGGAATATCTTTCATTACTGATTAAGGACTGAGGGTACATCTGGCTGATGATACCTGGATCGAATAAAGTGCGCTACTCTCCACAGTATACTCACTTATACTATCTTTCATAAGGTTAAATATTTTTTAAATTGAGAACAACTCAGGCGTTTTTATTCACTGTCATTGTACAGTTAAATTAGTTGAGTTCTCTTAGCTGCTAATTGATTCAATTAATAAGCTTCCGTCGTCCTTCTGGACAGCATCTTCAGCTGAGGTTCTAGTATAAGATGTACTTATTTAAATTCTCTAGCCTGCAGAATTGCTTCATTCGTTATTGTGAAGACCATAAGATCCACCAGAAAACGAAGATAAAATTAATGCTACTTACAAAATAAATTGGATGGACCGTAACAGAAATTGCATAGGTCAAAGTGGGAGTCCCTATCTACTCCATGAATTCAAGATCACAAATAAACTGTAAAAAAAGACATGATATATATTCTTTATTATCGATGCATGTAGATAATTACGGATACTAATTCGATGGTTGGGATACTGCAGAAATACTACACAAAGGGAACACCCGAAATTCAGTCAGGGAATTCCTAGAAGCCTGGTACTCGACTAAATCAGCCGGCGATTAACAAACACACATTACTAGTACAGACCAAATTTATCGGGTAAAAAGGTAAATCACATGATCAATAGCGACGTAAATCAACAACCAGTCGCGACAACGGTTGTCAGTAGGCAGTTATAACTATATAATTTATGGAGAATTTAAATAAGTCCATTTTATACCATAACTTGCGCCGAAAATGTTGACCAGAAGGAAAACGAAAGCTTCGCAATTACATCAACCAGCAGCTTAGAGAACACAACTAATTCAATATCTACCTAAGCTACAAATTTTCTCCATGATGTCACTGTGTTGTGTTAGACTGAATTAGTCAAATGGTTATAAAAGATCTTTTAATCAAGCACCAAAACAGACATTCATGTTAGCCGTAGCGGTTTGCGATTATATAATAGGCTAAAAAAGTGTCGATTTCAGTGTGAAGATAATTTAAGCATTAGCAAAATGTTTAACCTTTACTGTAAATAGTGTGGAGACGAAATTCTGAACTTCGCAGACTTATTTGTAAAGTGAATTACCCCGAATGAATTGGAACAGGAGAAAATGAACTTATTGTTTATTTGTCAGTTAGTATCTCTTATCAACAATCTAAGACGTAAATAATGAAATCTTGTAGTTTTGTTACAGTTTTATCATACTTAAGTTCATTTGGACACTAGTCAGCGGCTAGTATAATGTTTCTAGTCCTTTGTTTGCTGCAGACTCAATTCTATTACAATCAAGTCTGCCGTGTGGCCAATATTCTAGGTGGTGAGTCACCCAGTGTCCAGTCCAAAAAGAATTCAACACAGTACAAATTGCTCCTCAGTGGTTACATCCCTGAGTGACGCAGGTTCGAATCTCGGAGGGGACAGAAGTTCCTTTTTCGATGAGTACCAACTGGCACGAAACCTTGAACCCGGCAAGGCCTCAAACCATCTTATGCTTTATCGCATTAGAGATAAAATGTGGAACAGTAATAATTAAGAACAATCATGGTATGTAGATGAAACGAAACGTCAAATTTTCTATATAGAAAATATCCCCATTTAGACATTTAGAAAACAGAAAGATTGAGCGAAGAAATATTTACTTTTCAATTAGATCCTCATCTCTAGCTCTACTGTAATATATATATATATATATATATATATATATATATGAATTTCGACAACACAATAAGAAGACGTAGTTTATCTAAAACGTGTAATGTATTGGCACAACACATTTTGGACATTCTGATCACACTCGAGTACTTGTCATACACAGTTTTTATAGAAGGCAAGAAGGCATGAATAATTATAAAACAGGTCAGATTGTGTGCATTATTTGTGTACAGGTCAAGGTCACAAATAATGCACACAATCTGACCTGTTTTATAATTATTCATGCCTTCTTGCCTTCTATAAAAACTGTGTATGACAAGTACTCGAGTGTGATCAGAATGTCCAAAATGTGTTGTGCCAATACATTACACGTTTTAGATAAACTACGTCTTCTTATTGTGTTGCCGATATATATATATATATATATATATATATATATATATATATATATATATATATATATATATATATATATATATATATATATATATATATATATAATTTTTATCACCATACACAACAGTTTATCAATCAAGTGGCGATATGTTTGTTATCAATAATTAGTGAGTGTCAAATTGTTAATGGGTTCATACTTAACGAAGAAAATCAATACACACATTAAAAAGGTAGAAATGGTTAGAATAAATTAATTTTACAAAGGATAACACGTAATTTAAGATGAAGTGGTCAGAAAAAATAAAAAATTCGGATAATTAAATTTTTTTATCATTTTAAAGGTTTAGGGGGAGAAGGGCGAAGTAGTCTGGTTTACACATTCATGTAACGATGGCCAAGGCAAGGGAAGTGGCTGTACAAATATCTTCTGAGCACACAGGTCTGCCTTCTTCAGGTGAATTCCTATTGCTTCAGCTGTCTGTAGAAGATGGACTCGTAGAGCAAAATTAGGAGTATTAGGAATGAGACAGATAATTTTAAGTGCTGTATTAACATCAACCTTATGCTCACTAACTACAAGGTGTGCTAAACCTACTAGGTGATATTTTGACACTGACTAATTAATGTTAACAAGCATATCGCCATTTGATTGGTAAACTGTTGTATATTGTAATAAAAATGCTACATATATTAGAGTAGAGCCAGAGATAAAGATTAATTGAAAAGTAAATATTTCTTCGCTCAATCTTTTTGTTTTCTAAATTTTCTATAGTTTGTTTTCTAGGGGACCAGAATTCCAGGAGTTCTGGTGAGAAGTCGTGACCAGTGAGGTTCATCCACTCAAGTGAGAGGATGGAGTTCCCACGTACGACATTGGTTAAGATCACGTTAAATTACGAATTGGTAGAAGTTAGAATTCATCGGCTGGCCATTTAGGAGACGTATCTCAGTGGCTGAATGATATACGAGCTTGCCTTGTCACCGGAAGGTCCTGAATTCGGAACCTGGCAGTGGGTGCGTACTGCCGGTGACTCCCACACTAGGATGAAACAGCTGTTCAGTACTCCAGTGCTGCTTTTCAATGGTTCTCTAACTGGTATCGATCCGTCATCAACTCGTAAAAATGTCAAATTAGTAAAATATGAAAATACCTGCTGTATTTATTTATGTGATGGGATGGAAGTTACTGGAATAAAATGAAACATTGGAAAGCAAGGGAAGCAACAAATACTGAGTCATTTAAATTATAACGTAGTCTAAACCACTCAAAAATTATCAACCCCACGAACGATAGAGCTATCGAAAGAATGTATCAATTTTATTACGTCGCGGTCTATCGTATTTCGAAGGTTTTATTGCTTTATCTAGACATGACTCACCTTATCCCCTTCGTTGTTCATTTTACAAAAATGTATTTGCTGTAGTTACGTAACCTGTTAGTCGATATACTCCATCTAATTAAACTTCTATTCTACTCCGAAAATTTTCAACTTCATTTTCAAGGGTATTCCATTATGGGTAAAATTTATTTCGATAAAATCTCACAGGGCTTACAGTGATATTTGCTGATGACCACCTTTCGAGCATAATTTATGACTGCTCATATTCATATCAAGGTACTCACTCACACAACTTTCTAACTTCGGTTTCATAATTCCATTATTTTCCATCGCTTGATTTGATTGGTAGTACTATTTTCTAGATTTCCGGTATAAGTGATGAATCCTTCCCATTGCACGTGTGGGGTGTAGACTCAATGAACCAGGCAGGATTCAGTATTCAATCTCTCTTTCCACCTACCTATATTGGTTCTAAGAATTTTAACCCTCTCCCACCCTATTGTGTGCTTGTGTGTTAATGCATGCAGTGCAACTGCCGACCTTTTTCTAAACTACTTTGTGGGATCAATCATTCTCACCTAAGCTAAATTCTTATCTTCCGACAATCTGACTATCCCCGACCTACTAGTTTGATCTATGTAGTTGACCTCACAGTCATTGCAAGGTATTTTGTGAATAATATTATTTTGTCTAATTGGATCAGCTGGATTCTTTAACCCACAGAGGCGGTCCCTTAGTCAGTTTGTAGGTTTGAATGCCACTCTAATTCCTGCTTTATTAGGAGTCCTACGTAGGAAGTGTCTCAGATATTCCCTCCTTATAAGGTTAAACTACTGTAGATGCCCTATATTCTCTCTTATTTATATTATCATTACTAGTTTCCCCACTATTTTTATGTTGCTTTTGATCTTTTCTAGTCTTCCTAATGAATTTTACAGGACAGTTATTTGATACCAACGCTGCTTCTATCTGTTTTATTTTCATCATTTAGGTCTTATCTTGTAATACTTAGTGCTGCTGCTCATGAGTCTTCATCTAATTGTCGCAGAAACAGTCAACCATTCCATCTCTTAAAAACCAACACTTGAAAATTAGTCTGATGCTCACTAGCGACTGGCCCTATTCAGGTAGTTAACCTGGGGTTCTAGTGGAAAGCCGTGACTAGTAAGGTAGAGCAGGTTGAAGATGAGGCAGTAACTCACCGAAGAAGACATTGCGAAATGGTCGTGCTGTGTCTAGAATTGACAGAAATTAGAATTCATGGACTAGCCATTGGATCGGGTCCCAGTGGCTGAATGGTCTACGAGCTCTCTAGCCTTGTAACCAGAAGGTCCTGGGTTTCAATCCCAGTGGGTGCGTACTGATGAAGAGTCCCAAACTAGGCTGACAAAACAACTGTTCAGTTCTCCCAGCTAGTTTTCCAACGGT